ATCCCAGCGGCTCCAGAGGCTTAGGTTAGGGGAGGAAGATCAGAAGTTCAAAGCCAGGCTCAGCAATTTAGCAAGGTCCGAAGCAATTTAGTGAGACCCTGTCTCAAAATAAAAACACAAAAAGGGTTGGAGATGTGGCTCAGTGGTTAAGCTCCCCAGAGTTCAATTCCTGGTACCAAAAAAAAAAAAAAAAAGAATACAAATAATAATAAATACTGGAGAGGATGTGGAGAAAAAGGAACACTTACCCTATTGGTGGGATTATAAATTAGTACAACTACTATGGAAATCAGTATGGAGGTTCCTCAAAAAACTAGGCATGGAACCACCATTTGGCTCATCTATACCACTCCTCAGTATTTATCCTGAAGAATTGAAGTCATCATACTACATTGATACATGCAAAGTCATGTTTATAGCGGCACAATTCGCAATAGCCAAACTACGGAATCAGCCTAGGTATCCTTCAGTGGATGAATGGATAAAGAAAATGTGTTATATATATATATATATATACAATGGGATTTTATTCAGCCATAAAGAAGAATGAAATTATGTTATTTGCAGGAAAATGGATGGAACTGGAGATCATTATGTTAAGCAAAATAAGCCAAACTCGGAAGGTCAAGGGCCATATGTTTTATCTCCTTTGTGGAAGCTAGAGCAGAACAAGGAAAAGAAAGGCGGTGGTGGTGGTGGTGTGTGGGGGAAGTCTCATGAAAATAAAATGGAGATCAGTAGAGGAAAGGGACAGGGGTGGGAGGGGGGAAGAGAGGATGGAAGTGCTGGGGAGTGAGATTGGCCAAATTATATTGTTATATTTGTATTGTGTGCATATATGAATACATAACAAATCCCATCATATGTACAATTATAATGCATCAATAAGAAACCTGGGGAAAATGTTATCCCTGGCACATATTAAATTTTTTATAATTCATAGTTATTACTAATAAAAGGAGTAATTAACTTTATTTTATTTTTTTAGTTGCTGATGGACCTTTATTTTGTTCATTTATTTATACACGGTGCTGAATCGAACCCAATGCCTCACACATGCTAGGCAAGTGCTCTACCACTGAGCCACAACCCCAGCCCACAGGAATAATTAATTTTAACTGTTAAAATTCATAAGATGTCTTAGGAAGATCCTGAATGGTAAGACTGCTCAAGACAAAGGAATGACTTAGCAAAGTTAATTGTGTAATGATAAAGAGATTATTCTGGAATGTGAAATAAGGAAGGTGTTTTGGGTTTGGGGACTACAGAAAAGGTGAGAAACTTTGGTTGGGCTACAAACTGTAGATAGTTGGATTGTTTACATGGCACCRCAGAGGGAATTCAAAACTTTATGTATGTCAAGGGAGAAGGGGTACTGAGGTTTGACAAGATCTTATCAGGGTTTCAGGAAAAGGATTTTGGTGACCTTGCAGAATATGGGTTGAGGTGGGGACAGAGATAGAGGGAAAAGTCAGGATGTTCTATCAGGGTTTGAATTGAAATTTAATGAAGGCTGAACATGGGACTGCAAGGGAGATGGAACATTTGCAGCATAATGGCAGATCCGATTAGGACTTGGCAACCAGTCATGGCTGAGGAAGAGTGAGAAGGGGCATTCTGGAAATGTTGCTGAGACTTCAAGCATAAGCCACATCTAGCACAGTTCTGACTGGAGATCAAGTGTTTAAATAAAAGGAAGTAGATTTACACAGTGGAATGGGTTTGATTTAGGATGTGCTGAGTTTGAGATGTTTACAGAACATCCAGTTGGAAATATGGGACTGGGGTTGGGAGATGAGTCAGCTGGAGGCGGATGGAGAATCCTTCCCTAAAAGATCCCGGTTGAAACTGACCAAGTTGATGAGATCATTGGGGAAGAACAGTAGCACAAGGCAAGCACTGTTAAGAGTAGTAACCATTATAGGGGTGTGCATATGATTGTAGTGAGAAGGGCCTCAAAAAAAMCCTCAAACATCTGAGTGTAAGTCCTGCCTAGGCTTTGATATGCATTTTGTCACTAATCTTATGAAAGCACAGATAACATTATGAGACAGAAAAAGGGGAAAGAGGGACAAACCTTTGTTGAAGTCAGTATTTTCGAGGTTTAAATAGAAGAGCAACCAGAAAAGGGAAGGAAGACCAAGTTTTGAAAAGGTTACATCAAACTTCCAAGAGCCAGCTTATCATCATGTGATAGAGACACTGCCTCCAATGTTCTTGGCCTTGGTTGAGGGTCAGGATATACACATAAAAGATAAGTAACAAGCTGAGGGGACATTGGGGAAATATGAAATGCTTGACATAGACAAGAAGCATTATTTAATCATGGTTTGGGCTGGATTTGGTCCAGGAAGGCTCAGAGCAAAGAAGACAGGTGAGCCCAATCTTGAAGGTGTCAGCAGATTCTGGAAGAGTGAAGAGAACACTGCAGGTCAGGGGAGCCATGTCCTTAAAGGCCAAATATTTTCTTTTAACCTATATTTACTACCAAGGTACACCAGAAAGTCTCCTCCAAACTCATAACACTTTATAGCCTGTCTCCATTTTAACTCCTAAGTTTTCCAATCATTCCTAATGCTACTGAATACACTTGTGTGGTCACCAGATTTGACAAAACAATGGTGTTTTATTTTCATCTTAAACATCAATGCATTTCAGCTTTTCTTTCAGTTTCCTATTTATTTTAGTTCCCACATTTATTAAATTATCATTGATTTTAATTTTTAAATTTAACTCTCTTAATGTCAAGTCGGTTGGCATTCTGAACTAGTAATGTTATGCCTAGAGTTTTTAAAAGAACAATTAATTCCATATTAATGTCTGAAAGTTACCCCGCACCCCTAACTCAGGAGGGACCCCAGAGTGATGGGAATCCTAGATTGCAGTGGACATTTGCTGCTCCTTGGCTTCCCAGCATGCATTCCGCCTCCTGCTCCTAAGAGGGCTCTGGATTCCTTGCTGGGAATTATTGGTTCCTCCTTGTGGCAGTTCAGCGGGACCATTGTTAAGGAACCCTGCTGCCATCTTGCCAAGTGGTCTCTGACGCTGAAGTTGCCCAATCACATTTTATTCTAGGATAGTACATATTGAACAAGGTAACTCAAGAACTGGTTAAAAAAAAAAAATGGAACAGGATTTATTTCAACAATGATCCTGAGATCATCAATTACTACTTAAATAATGCAGGGCTGTCCTTTCCAAACATCATTCTTTGGATTTTTTTTTTTTTTTTTTGTGTGTGTGTGTGTGTGTGTGAGAGAGAGAGAGAGAGAGAGAGAGAGAGAGAGAGAGAGCGCTGTCACATATCTTTCCAATAAATTCTCTCTGAACTTAGCCAGAGTCAGTTTCTATTGTTTACCAAAAAACAACAACAAAAACCTCATTCACTGACCAAACTAGAAAATCCAGTGTTTTCCACTGTCTGCCAAATTTATTACCATTGATGTGGGAAATCAAGTGAGTAGGGTGGGTAAGAAAGTATATAACTAGGTTCCCAGCTACTTGGGAGGCTGAGACATAAGGTTTGCAAGTTTGAGGCCAGATCCAGCACTTTAATGAGACCCTGTCTCAAAAATAAAATAAGAGGGGCTGGGAATGTAGCTCAGAATTAGAGCCCTCCTGGCTTCCATTCCCAGTACCACAATAATTTAAAAATTAGGGGACTGAGATGTGGCTTAGTGGTTGAATACTAATATAGCAGGCATGAGTTCAATCCTCAGAAATGCATTTAATAGAAAAAGTATAATTAAGAGATATTTTGGCAAATGATACTTTGTTTCTTTTTCAGTTAACTGAGTCACTGTCTACAGTTGCTTGCTAGAGATGATGGAGAGTCATCTTGATAGGGAGCCTTGCTTTGCTTTGATCTATTCTAGCAGAATCCTCTTCCAGCTTGCCATCTGCCTCAGGGGATAGTTTGTATAGAGTGTACAGGGGCTCCTGCGTTCAGGGGCTCCTGCGTTCAGGGGCTCCTGCGTTCTCTGGCTTCCAGGATGAGTCTGGTCCTCTCTCAGTCTTAAGAGTGAGATCTGGGTGTGATTTCTCTCTGTTAACATCCCTTAGGAGTTGCCTCAGCCTGGTTGTGTTCAGTGGTATGCTGGTCAATGTTTAAGAATTGGGTCTGTGGGGAAAAAAAAAAAAGTTCCGATTTGTAGTATTTGCTTATTTCCATGGGATACTATTCCTGATATGCCCTAACTGACTTTAGGGTACCAATGTGACATCATTGAATACAGTTTGTAAAAGATGCTAACATTCAGCTCCCTCCCATGTGTCCTATGAGCTGGCTTGAGTACATCACTGGCTATGTCTGCCTCCCAATGTCATGCCTCTCTTCATGAGTCTCTTTTCTTCAGTGTTCCAATAACTTGCATTATCTCGGTGATCTACCTAACTCCTGTACACACCTTTGTAAACTGCCACTTTGTAAGAAAATAAGCAAAACAGTTCGCACACATGCGTACACATACAAAATTTCACAAATTATCCTCATTTGAAAGCATCACTACATGGTGGTGGTCAATAGCCTTGGAGGTAGCCCCTAGTGATGCCCACCTCCTTCCTGGTATTCACCTACTTGTGCAGTTCCTTTCTAAGTGTATTAGATTTAGTCAGCATGACCTGTAGAATACGGTAGAGGTGATAGTATGTCACTTCTGAGATAAGTTGTAAAGTTTCTTTATTTTCTTCCTCCTCCTCCTCCTCCTCCTTTCTCCTTCTCTCTCTAATTCTCTCCTGGATTTTCACATGGGGGAAGCCAAATTCCATGCCAGCTGGCCCCATGGAGAGACCCACACTGTAAGGAACTGAGGCCTGCAAACAACCATGCAAGTGAGATTGGCAGCAGATCCTCCAGCCCGGATCAGACTTTGATGACACAACACCCACCAACAGCTTGATTATGGTCTCATAAGACACAGCACCATAACTAGGTAAGCTGCCGCCAGATTCTTGACCTTTGAAGATGCTATGAAATAATGATTTTAAGTCACTACCTTTTGGAATACTTGGTGATTTGTGTGTAGCAATAGATAACTGACACAGGCATGCCGACTGACGCGCTCCGTCCCTCTTACTCTTTAGGTCCCAGCAGTCAACTCCGGAGTATGAGTCATCTGTTCCCTTCTTGCCTCTCCACTGCCCTCAGCCTTGTGCAGGTCTGGACTGCTGCAGTTGGTAATAGCTCACCTCTTTGCTGACCACGCTTGGGCTACAACATCAATGGAAAGCTGTTGCTGACATTGCCCTTGTTAAAACCCCTCCCTGGTGACCCATTGCCCTTGGAATCAAGATAAAAATATTTATATCACTCTTATGACCCTGGATGAGCATAACTTGTCCTACTTCCACAGTTCGTTTCAGGCCATTCACACTCACCCAGCCTCCGGGCCTTGTCTTCACTGGTCCACTTTCTGTTTTCATCTGCCAAGGTTCTGCCTTGACTCCAGTACTGTAGTCAGGCTGTTCATACACCCTTCCCTGCAAGCTTCTCCTATCTTCTAGTCAGCTCAAGTCATCCTTCAAGTCTCGTCTTCTCAGAAGGCCTTCCCTGGCCTCCACTGAGAGAGGACTAAGTCCCCATTATGTCCCTTCACAAAATCCTTATTCAATATTCAACCAATAATTGTCATTCATCTGAAATAGGCACTATCTTGTTATATTTTATATCTAAACTGTCTAGGAGTTTGGAATATATAAGTAAATATGTTCTACCCTTTCTTCATGGTGTATATCATAATTTTAATTCAAATAATTATTTTACTAAATGATTAATGTCTATCTCCATTGCTAGGTCGTAAACTCCATGTGGACATGGACCATTGTCTTCTTATTTTCCAATGCCTGGCTCAATTAATATTTGTTGAAGAAATTGAATGAGAGCTTTGAAGTCAGACTGGAATTTGACTATTTGATCTACTATTTACAAATAGTGGGCACAGTTTCACTATCTATAAGCTGTGAACAACAACAGCACCTACTTCTTTGGGTTGATGTGAGAATTAAATCACATCATGGATGTGATGTGCTTAGAACAGTGCCTGATACTTTAATAGGGGCATATGCAAATTATTATGATTAAAATGAATTTTATATCACATTCATGTGACAAAATCATAATTTTGAGACTATTTATTGCAGTTTACATTTTCCTGAGTCATATCTTCCCCAGAAATGAGCATTTTGCTGTTGCTCAGTTTAGCTAAATGTACTTGCTTTAGGTCCTTCAGTGCTTCTCTGAAAATTTGAACTGATGCAGCATTTTCAGTTTGCTATAAATTTCCCCACTTAGAGGAAAGATGTTGAACATGTGTGTACATTTGGTAAAAAATGAGAATGATACATACCTTTCACGAGGATTCTGTGTCAAGGAGTTAGCAGCAACAAACAGGAGTCACAGCATCGTAAAGGACATGGTAGATAAAAATCAAAGTGAAAGACAAACAGGAAATAAGATGGCTACTGTGTTTGTTTATCCTGATCAGGATTTTATATAGCAAATCTTTGTTTATGTTTTTGTTGAAGGTAAAAAATGAGTAGAAGAAATAATTTGAAACATAGCCATCAACCTGCCAATGGCAGTTAGCTCTTCTAAAGAAGCATGGAGGAGGCTTTCAGTTCTAGTTTGTTTGGTAAGAATCCCTTATAACAAGAGTACATTACTTATGTATAACGTGCACATACCCAAATATGATTTAATGAATAATTAAAGAAAGAAAGAAAAAGAAAAAAGTTGAGCAAGTTTCAGTTGGCTTCATTATGATTTCTTACACAAATTATTTTTTTGGTGAAGGTACCAGGGATTGAACTCAGGGGCACTTAATCACTGAGCCACATCCCCAGTCCTATTTTGTATTTTATTTAGACACAGGGTCTCACTGAGTAGCTTAGTGCCTCACAACTGCTGAGGCTGGCTTTGAACTTGTGATCCTCCTGCCTCAGCTTCCAGAGCCACTGGGATTACAGGTGTGCACCACCACTTCCCACTTCTCATACAAATTTTATCAGCTATCAAAACTCTCTTTAATGTAGAGGGGAAAGAGAAGAAGTWCAGAAAGAGGGAAAACTGGAGAAAGGGAGGTGGGCTATTCAGATACCTTTTTATTATATGGCTTCATTATTACTTAAAATATTGTAAATTTCTCAAATGTTGAAAAGTATTCATCAAGTATTTATTGATACTGTTTTCATGTGCTAAGTACGAGGAGGGACATGAGCCTTCATACAACTTTCCACCTAGCTAGACAGATGAGTCCAGCAGCAGACCCTAGAACACTTTAGAATAGGTTGAAAGCTTTAAGGTGAACACACCTTAGTCAAAGCTCATATAGTTCAAAGAAGGCAGAACTTTGAAGGTTCACATTGTAGGTGTAGGGAGAAATATAACATTGTATGAAGAGGTCACAGAAGGGGGGGATTTGCATTATGCCAGAGCATGATATCAACACTAAGCCAGAGGTGGAGCTGGAGAGTGTACAATGAAGGGGTAAAGAGCTTCAGGATATGGGTAAATACATCTTTTCTCCCAGAAACATGTTTTGTAAGGAAAGGGGAGAAAGAATAGCTGATACAGTGATTGTTGGGATTGAAAATTGTTTTCTTTTGCATCTTGTTTTTAAATATAAGAGATTTACGATAAGAATGATTTGGGGCAATTAAACAAGGTAAAGATTGGAGAAAGAATAGGTAAGCAACAGGAAAAGGCATGACAATGTGAAGAGACATGACAAGCTGAGAGGAACACAGTGAATTTGTTGGGCTGGAAAAAATATGGGGCATTTCTTGGCAATAGATGCTTATCACGATTATCATCTTAATTGGTGAAAATAGAAACATGTAGAGGTGGAAAAGACAGTGACTTGAGAGGCAGGCTTATCTACTAAGCACACAAGCAAACAAACATACATACAGGAAGTGAGGTCATCTTTGGGAATTTGGGGATAGGAATGGTGTTGAGAAGTATATAAAGTTTTGTTTTAGCCACAGTGGGAAATTTGATAAGCTGTCAAAAAGTATGAATCTAAGAGTGGTAACCAATAGCAAATAACTCAGATTTGGAGAAGACCCAATGGATACTTTTTTTGTGATTTTAGCAACATTTGGTTGACAAGGAGTACAAATGACATAATGAGTTTGGGGTTCGAAGTTTGGGACTGAAAATGGATGTGTAAATGTGAAATTAAAGAGAGGCTGCTATAATAAAAACTAACTCTCTAGAAATCTTCTCCAGAAATGGAATAGACTGCTCTAGGAAGAAGTGAATCTGCTATCACTGGAGGGTTTTATAGGTTAGATGACCACTTGGGGGCTGTTGTTTAGGATTAAGTATTGGGTGAATGGGTGACATGACTCTCTATTCCCTTTACTTGTAAGATTTTRTGATTCTAGAGCAAGAACAGCAATACCCACTAATGCAAAAAAAAAAAAAAAAAAGCATCAGTTAATTGGTTGACTGATTTTATTTATTTATTTTTTATATGGTGCTGGGGATCAACCTAGTGCCTCATGCATGCTAAGCAAGCCCTCTACCACTAAGCCACAACCCCAGCCCAACTGTTATTCTTTTATTTTTATTTTTTAGTTGTCAGTGGATCTATATTTTATTTATTTATATGTGGTGCTGAGACTTGAACCCAGTGTTGGACCTAGTGCCTCACATAATGCTAGGCAAGAGCTCTACCACTGAACTACCACCCCAGACCCCAACTGTTATTCTTATTTATTTATATTTTGGTACTGGGAACTAAACTCAAAAGGGTGCTTTACCACTAAGCAACATCCCAGTCCTTTTTATTTTGAGACAGGGTCTCACTAAATTTTCTAGGCTGGAATTGAACTTGCAATCCTGCCTCAGCCTTTGGAGTTGCTGGGATTACAGGCTTGTGCCGTCTCACCTGGTAGTTGACTGTCATTCTTAATGTCAACACTAAGACTACAGATGAGTTGGAGCTAATTTATCTTTGCACTTTCAAAGGGAAAGAGCATGCCCTCTACTCTCTTATCTCCAGCTTGCTGTTGAATTTAACCAGACATCTTGGACCATGATGTTAAGGACCACAAACTAGGTTGACATATTAATATGATAGCAAGCATTGTGAAGCTGCCATATTGACCTTGAACTGCTTGAAGTTATACTTTCATACTGTTTTGTGTTATGACAGACAAACTGATATTGAACAGATGATAGGAAAATCTGTTAATTGTGAAATAGTAAGTTTGTTCAGTAACAACTGGGATATGAAAGATGAACTAAAACTATAGAAGCAACCTATGTTTTTCCTGGGAGGTGCCATCCGTGGCTCCAAGTTATGATCTCTAGTATCCTTTCTAACTAGACCACAATTAGTGAACCCCAGCCAGAGCTCCTGTGACTGAATTTCCATTTATGATTTTACATAGAACTATCAGAACCAACTCTGAATTCCTTGAGCCTTTCCTCAGCAAACTTGATAATGTGATGGCATCTGGTCATTGTCCTTACCCTTGTTCTTGAGATTCTCTTCTGTCTTCTGATAGAAAACAAGAACTGGAGACTGAAGCTTCAGAGACCACTGTAGTAAACAAAGAACAACCTAACTTAGACCAAAAATCATTGGGATGATCACTGATTTAGTGTGTTTATGGTTCTTCCCCATGTTGATGTGTTGGAAATAGAATCCCCAAAATCATATTGTGTTAGTCATCTTCACATCATGGTGACCAAAATCCCTGACAAGAAAAAGCTAGTGGAGGGAAAGTTTATTTTGGATTTAGTCCATGATGGGCCGACTCCATAGCTCTGGACCCAAAGTGAGGCAGACTATCATGGTGAAATGGCATGTAGAGGAGCTTTGCTCTGTTCATGGCAGCCAGAAAGCTAGAGAGACAGCAAGGAGGAACAGCCCCAAGGAAGAGAACCCTTCCAAGGCACATCCCCAGTGACTCACCTCTTCCTCCAGCCACACCCCAGTTACCACCTACTGCCTACAGTTACCACCCAGTTGTATTAAAAGTGGGATGGACTGATAAAGTTACAAATCTCACAGTCCTATCCTTCCACATCTGAACATTCCTGCATTAACACAGGGGCTTTAGGGGGACTCCTCACATCCAAATCATAACACATATGTTAATGGTATTTGGAGGTAAGGCTTTGGGAGAGGTAATTAGGATTAGATGAGGTCATGAGGGTAGTGCCTTCCCTGATGGAATTATAGGCTTTATTATAATAATAAGAAGAGAGACCTAAACTAGCACACTTGCTCTATCTTGAAGTGTGAGACTCTCTGTCATGTTATGGTACAACAAAGAGGCCCTCACTAGACACTGAACTGACACTAAGCCAATGCTCTTATAGTTCTAGCCTCCAGAATCATGAGACAAATAAACTTCTGTTCCTTATAAATCACCCAGTTTCAGGTATTTGTAATAGYACCAGAAACAAAATAAGAGAGTGCTGCTCAGATCTTTCTTAGTGACCAAAATTTAGGAAATTCCCTATATGCACAAGGAGAACTCCTTTATCATTACTTAGCTTGAAACTTATTCTGGTTACCACAAACTATGTAGGTTTTCTCTACATATATTTTATACAATTATTATACTCCAACATTTACAAAACTGATGAATACACTTCTACTTCTCATTTAAAAATTCTTTACTGTGATCTAATATACAAAGATTTGCAATTGTAACCACTGTTTCAATGTAAAATTCAGTAGCATTAAGTACATACTCATTATTGAGCAACCATCAACTACTATCTTCTCCAGAACTTTTCCACCGTCCAAATTTAAACCCTGCACTCATTAAACAATAACTGACTGTGATTACCCCTGGGAATGGCTACTCTACTTTCTGTCTCTATGAATTTGACTATTCTAGATTTCTTATATAAATGGAATCATACAATATTCATCATTTTATGTCTGGTTTATTTAGTTTTGCATAATTCCTTCAATATTCTTCCACATTGTAGCATATATCACTTYCTTTTAAGGCTGAAAAATATTCCATTGCATGTATATACCACATATTGTTTATTCACTCATCTATTGATGGATATCTGGATGCTTCTACTTTTTAGCTACTATAATCAATGTTTCTATGAACAAGAGTATGTGAATATCTGGCCAAGTCCTTATTTTCAATTCTGCCTAATAAAGCAATCCTTAGTGTGGAAAATGAAGCGGGAAGCATCCTAATACCATTCCTGAAATTATACTACAGAGCTACAGTAACAAAAATGGCATGGTATTGGCCCCAAAACAGACACATAGACCAACAGAACAGAATAGAAGACACATCAACCTAAATATGGTTATCTCATACTAGACAAAGGCGCCATAAACATACATTGGAGAAAAGATAGCCTCTTCAATAAATGGTACTGGGAAAACCAAAAATCCATATGTAGCAGAATGAAATCGAACCTCTATCTCTCACCCTGCGCAAAACTCAACTCAAAGTGGATCAAGGACCTAGGCATTTGACCAGAGACTCTGCACTTACTAGAAGAAAATGTAGGCCCAACTCTCCACCATGTCAGCTTAGAAACCAACTTCTTCAATAAGACTTATGAGACACAAGAAGTAAAATCAAGAATCAATAAATGGGATAGTATCAAACTAAAAAGCTTCTTCACAGCAAAGGAAACAATCAAGAACATGAATAGAGAGCCTACAGAATGGGAGAAAATCTTTACCACCAGCACCTCAGAGCCTTAATCTCCAGGTATACAAAGAACTCAAAAAACTTAACACCAATAAACAAATAACCCAATCAATAAATGGGCTAAGGAACTGAGCAGGCACTTCACAGAAGAAGAAATACAGCTGGGTACAGTGGGGTACTCCTATAATTCCAGTGGTTTGGGAGGCTGAGATATGAGGATTGCCAGTTCAAAGCCAGTCTCAGCAACTTAGCAAGGCCCTAAGCAACTCAGCTAGACCCTGTCTCTAAAATAAAATATAAAAATGGGTTGGGGATGTGGCTCAGTGGTTAAGTTCCCCTGAATTCAATCCCTGGCCCAAAGAAGGAGGAGGAGGAGGAGGGGGACGAAGAAAAAATACGAATTGTCAACAAATATATGAAAAATGTTCAACATCTCTATCAATCAGAGAAATACAAATTAAAAACCACACTGAAATTCCATCTCCAGTCAGAATGGAATTATTAAGTATACAAGCAACAATAAATGTTGTCAAGGATGTGGTGGGACTGCAAATTTGTGCACCCACTCCTGAAAAYAGTATGAATATTCCTCAGAAAGCTTGGAATGGAACTACCATTTGACCCAGTTATCCCACTCTTTGGCATATGCCCAAAGGACWTAAAGTCAGCATATTACAGTGATGTAGCCACTTCAGTGTTTATAGCAGCTCAATTCACAATAGCCAAGCTATGGAACCAACCAAGTACCCTACAATAGATGAATGGATTTTTTTAAAATGTGGAATATTACTCAGCCATAAAAAAGAATGAAATTATGGCATTTTCTGGTAAATGGATGGATCTGGAGACTATCAGGCTAAGTGAAATAATCCAGTCCCCCCAAACCAAAGGCAGAATGTTCTCTCTGATATGTAGATGCTAACACACAACAAGGGAGGGGAAGATTAGAAATTCATTGGATTAGACAAMGGGGAATGAAGGAAAGGGATGAGGTGGTAATAGGAAAATAAAATGAATCAGACATATCTTTCCTAACTTCATATATAAATACATGACCAATGTAATTCCGCATCATGTGCAACCACAATAATGAGAAAACATGCCTAGTACCAGTCGTGATTTGTACTACAGTTTGAACGTGTCCCCCAAAATTCATGTGTTAGAAAATCAATCTCTAATGCAACAGTGTTAGGATGCACGGTATTGAGGAGGCATGTAAGAGCCCTCATGAATGAATCAATGCTGTAGTAGAAAGGTTTGATGGAGCAAGTTTTGTTTCTTGTCCTTCTGTCCTTCTGCTATGTGAGGGCACAGTGTTCTGCCATCCAAAGATACAGCAACAAGGCTCTGTCTACTGAACCTGTCAGCACTTTGATCTTGGACCCCTAGCCCCCAGAAATGAAAGAAATAAATTTCTGTTTTTTATAAATTATCTGGTCTCAGATATTTTGTTATAGCAGCACAAAGACTCTCTCTCTCTCTCTCTCTCTCTCTCTGTATGTATGTATATATATGTGTGTGTGTATTTGGTGTGTGTGTGTGTGTGTGTGTGTGTGGTGCCAGGGATTGAACCCAGAGCCTTGTGCATGTGATGCAAGCACTCTACCAACTGAGCTATATCCCCAGCTCCTGAACTAAGACAATATACATGAAGTCTTTCATTTACTCATTCATTTCTTCAACATATATTATACACATTATTTAGCTGCAAGAGGCTTTATTTATAAAATATATTACTCTCATTGGTCTTTATCTTTTACTAATCTGACAGGGAAGGTAATAAGGAGTCAGAAGACTGAGACATGCTGTTATGATTTAGATATTAGGTGTTACTCAAAAAATCATGTGTGAGACACTACAAAAACTTTTAGAAGTGAGATGATTGGGTTATGAGAGCCTCAACATAATCAGTGAATTAATGTCCTGGTGGGGATTTACTGAGTAGTAACTAGAGGCAGGTAGGGTGTATCTGGAGGAGGTGGGTATGGGGGTATGTGCCTTTGGGGTATATATTTTGAATCTGGCGAGTGGAGACTGTTTCTGATGTGATATCCTGAGCTGCTTCCAGCCACTACACTCTTTCACCTGATATTCTGTCTCACCTCGAGCCCCGAGGAATGCAGTTGGCCATCTATGGACTGAGATCTCTGAAATGTGAGCCCACAAATATATTTTTCCTTCTCTAAAATTGTTCTTGTCAGATATTTTAGTCATAGCAGCGAAAAAGCTGACTAAATCACATGCTCTGGCAAACACCCTCATTGTAAACAAGAGACCACACTGACAGTGAGACCCCACGCCTTTCTGCCAGGGGAAATCACACATGGAATATAGTCATGTTGGACAGTATATAATATAGTCAGTTCTTTCTTTAAAAAAAAAAAAACTATCATGAATCAAAATTTTAATGTGGCTGAAAAATTAAAAATATTTCTGTGAAGTACCCTACATTACTATTGTAGAAAATGGAACAAAGTTGGTATAGGCCATGCTTCTAAGAAGCTTATAATATAATATAAGGGTAAGATGAAAAACAGAAATACTCTATAGGCTAGTGTAAAATAAAAGAGCAGAAAAATTTTTAGGAGTTCAAAAAGGAAAAGATCCTATGCAGTTAAGGAAAATCCAAAAAGGCTTTGTAAAATATAAAAGATCTTTGGAGGGAAGAGTGCTGTGGCATATGCTTTGATTTTAAGCACAGAGAATTTGGAGAATTGATGGAGAAAAGGGCCAATTCATGCACAGAGAAAATATTTGGTAAGTTTTATGTTATTTTAATATATTTATTTATTTATTTTCTGTGGTGCTTTGGATCAAACCCAAGGCCTTGTGTGTGCTAGGCAAGTACTCCACCACCAGGCTCCGGGCTCAGCCCTTTTTCATCTTTTCTTTCCC